GAACCGCTGGATAGGACGTTTGCCATATGAACCGTTGTTTAATGTGGAGGGGCCGGTGCCTTGGCCTCCTAGATCACCAGATCTTAACCCCCTCGACTACTATGTATGGGGTACGTTGAAAGATGATGTTTACTCTGTACCAATTGAATACAGAAATCAGTTGCAGAGAAGAATAATAGACGCCTGTGATAATCTCAAGCAGAGGCCACATGAAATCATCGCGGGGATAAATTCTTTAATACGAAGATGTCAAATGTGTATTAATGCAGCAGGCGGGCATTTCGAACAACTTCGTTAGATGTTATGCAGCTGTAATTATTTTCAATAGTTTTATTAAATATTGATTATTGAGTTGATACAGTAATTATTTTATTGTCGTGCAATTTGTATGTATATTGTAATAGTAATAATAAATAAATTTTACTTGAAAATGATAATAATTACGAAAAACTTACAAGGATATTTTTTTGTCCAGATTAAACGGAGAATCCAAAAAATATTGTTTTTTAAATTTAAAGCCAGTGGCGTACTAATATTTTTTTACTAAATCATTGGAGACCCCTATTTTCTCCAAAGATCACACGTACAGTGCAAAATGATTTATAAAAATCTTACGGGTGAAACCTCATCACCTGCAGAAAAATTCGAAAATTATATTTTTTTCGGGAAACTTCAACGCGCTGTATCTCAAAAAGTAAATATTTGTCGGGTATAGTTTATTTAGAAAACTAACATTATTTTTTGATAATGTATTGATTCCTTAAGTTTGATCAAAAAAAAGTGGACCACCCTGTATATAAAGAATTATGAACACCTGGGAAAACTAAAAGTTCAAAGGCGAAGGCAAAATTTGGTTTTAATATTACGTTTCTTCTTAAAAAAACGACAATAGCGGCTATTAACAAACATAAAAAATGCTACAAAACCTTTAATGCTATATGGGGTGTCCTTGTTGATAATTATAATTAAAAAAAAACAATGGAGAGCAAATATTTTTTTTGAATAATTCTTCTAATTCTATAAAAATTGCACATCACTACGAGTTTTTAATTCAGATTTCTGAAAAAATTTAATTACTAATTTTTTTAATTGTAATCTAAAATAGGTACTTTATTCTACACCTCTCAAAATATTATCGCATGGATTTTTATAAAAATTTATTCGTTTTTTCAATCAAACAAATATAAAATTGTAACAGTTCCCGGTACATTTTCATATTTAATATTACTGTACAACTTTTTTTCTATTTATTAATTTGTTGCTAAATTTTTACTTATACTTTAATAATTAAAAAAATTGCAAGGAAATAGAATGACATCATGTTATTAGATTTGGAATAATAAATTATTTATACAATTTTTCAAAAATGGACACTAAAAAAAATTAAAATTATAGCTTATAACACTTGAAATGTGGCGAAATTGTATATGCAGTTGAGTTGAGGTCATTTATTTGCAACCACTTTGCAACCCATGTGTTGCTAAGAAGTATTATTCCATAGCTCTGGTGACATCAGTAATACAAAAAATTGTTTCAAATAAAAGTTGAACCAAGTCAATTTCTTCACATTTTAAAATTATTTTCATTTATACACGGTTTACCATTTCTTCTGGCCGTTATTAACTTAATTTTTCAAACGGAAAACCCCATATTATTTGATTTTTTAATTCCTAATTGAATTTAACGCTTGGCTCTGTTTCAGTATAAGTTATTGGAAATACGATAAGTTGCCTTTTCATTAATTTTAAACACCGTAGGGTCCCCACATCACGACAACGAAGGGAAACAGAATGTAATAAAATTTCCGAAATTAGTTGAATCGAAACTAAGTTTATAGCAAAGAAAGACTGTGTATTTTTAACAATATTTTGCAAGTTTATTCTATTCATCTACGACAACATCCATATTAATATAAAAAAATTATTTTCATTTAAGACATTTTTCAAAATTCCATTATAATCCGTCGTTCCTTGAGTTTTCTGGTGACTTTCCTTCGAAGAACTAAAACAAAAACTAGATTGGCATTCCTAAATACAAGCGAAAAGGAGAAGCTCCACACAAAAGAACTCCGACACCCGACCGAGACCTCCAAGAAGCCGTCGCAGCGCCCCCCGGGATGAGATAACGGGCGCAAAGTGGCAGGCGAAGGCGAGAGAGGCAGATGGCGGATTCCCACACCGAGTGGATGTCAACACTTCACCGCTATTATGTTAAACGCGGAAACCTTTTATCGGAAATCAATTAAAAGCAATTCGTGGTCGCGGTTTCGCGCCCGAGATCATGCACTGTTGAGGGGTTGCCTGAGGGTAGGAGGAAAAGCTGAAAACACGAGAAAATTCGTACCGGAAGATTCCTTCAATTTTATAAAGCATTTTACTTAACTATTTAATTAAAAAAATATTGATTGTCCCTTTACTAAGTATATAAATAAAGAAACAAATAATAAATAATTACAGCTTGTTAATTCCTACCTATTGTGTTATATTGTTCTGTGGTAGTAGCATAACAATTATGTATATGCTTAGTTTTTTATATTATTAATAATGATTTCATGCTTCTTCGGATATAAATTTAGGTAAACTATTTTTCTATTGCAAAATAAGTTAAGTTTTATTTGTTCTGACAAAAACTTAATTTTATTCATTTATGTTATAGGTACTGAAAATCACAAAATAAAATTTAAAAAGTATATTTTATTAATGAAAAATATACAGGACATCTAGATGTCTTGGACATCTAATTTCATTTATTAGTAAAATTCAACCACGTTTAGATATTATGTTCAAATCACAACATTTTCTGAAACTGCCAATGAAAAATATATTTGTCAACGAAAACGATGAATTTTAAAGTCCAATTAGATGGCCTGAACTAAATCTGTGAATATTAACCATCTGTATCAGCAGTATAAAAGAAAGTTAAAATTATGAAGATTTTGGACCTCCTAAGTTTGTCATGAATTTGTAGTCGCCTACTATATACTGCTGACCCAGTCTAGATTTTCTCGTTCAAAGGAATATAGCCTTCATGTTGGCAAAATAGGGATACAAAGAAAAAAATTCAAGACATGGACCATGGAGACTGTATAGTCTCCATGACATGGACACTAGACACCCCTAGACACCATAGACACAGCTTAATAGAGCTTATGCTTAATGACCTGTGCCATAGACACCGACACCATAGATTGATACTGTCAAAGTGTCAAATCTAGTTAGACATAGCATAGAGATGGCTATGACTGAGACCATAGCATAGACTTTAGAAACTTATTAACTTTAACAACTTACTATTTTAAGACAGTCTTCTATGGTATAAGAGAATATATATTTTTATATAAGTATAACAAACTGATAAAAAATTTACAGAGATGTATCGAAATTTTTTAATTTTGCGGATTTGGAATTTTTTTGATACACCAGCGAAATTATTCACAAAATCTGGCAACCCAGACGTTACCTATCTATCTTCCTAATCTGTGACCAAAATAAAAAATAAATGTAAACATTAAAATATTTAAAACTTAAAAAAAACAATAATAAAATAACGTTCTGTGATAATAACCTATAAATTTAGAAAACGAAAGATAGAATTAGATAAAACTAATTAAAATGGAAATAACTCAAGACAAAATCTGCAGAATATGTTTAAAAGAATCTAATAATACGGAAGCACTATTCACCCTAAAACTTACCAAAGATGGATCTTTTGCAGTTGAATTTATAAGGAAAATTACTGACTTAAAGGTTAGAATGACTGTTTATAGTATTCTCTAATTTTATTAATTTCGTATAGATTGCAGAAATGGATACGCTACCTAGTAACATCTGTAACCAGTGTGTGGAAGATATTAACGTGGCTTTTAATTTTGTGCATTTATGTGTTGCTTCTGATGCTTCCTTAAGGAATCAAGAAACTCGTAGGATGTTAAGGCAAATCGAAGAAGAAGCGTTGGGAGAAGAAGAAATTGTTATTAAATGTGAAGAATTAATGGAACAAGAAAATGTATACGAACAACAAAATGATCAGACAATGGATCGAGTGTCTGACGACAATTTAAGTGAGAACGGGTTAACTCAGGAAGATTTGCATTTTACTACAGTTAAAGTAAAGGATAGATATAAGTGTGAGGTGTGTGTTTTGTCGTTTAATAATAAAACTAAATTTAATAAACACAGGAAAACTCATGACGAATCAAAACCTTTTAAATGTAAAGAATGTTTACAGACTTTTTCTAAGAAAATACATTTAAACGTACATTTACGGTCACATATTAAACAAGAAGACAAGAAGTTTCCATGTGAAGTTTGTGGAAAGCAGTTTACTTTTGAATATCTTTTAAAACAGCATGAATTTAAGCATAAGGATGAAAAACCATTTCCTTGTTCAAAGTGTAATAAAGGTAAATGTAAATTTTTTGCTTTATAAATCGAGACAATCCAAGCTATTTTTCAGGTTGCTTAACTGCTGAAAGTTTAAGACGTCACATGAAAGTCCACGATAAGGCCTACTCAAAAAAAACTCACACCTGTCATATTTGCCAAAAAAGTTTCCCCTATCCGAGTTTTCTGGCAGAACACATGAAAAATCATACTGGAGAAAAACCCCATTTGTGTTCGATATGCGGTAAGGGCTTCCGTCAAAGTGGCGCCTTACATTATCATCAGAGAATACACACTGGTTACAAGCCCTTTACCTGTAAAATCTGTGAAGAAAACTTTAGATCCCAGAGTGTTCTAAAAGTCCACATGAGGAAACATACCAATGAGCGGCCGTACGTTTGCGATGTTTGTGGAATGTCGTTTAGGCAGTCGACAGATTTGAAGTCCCATCACAGAACGCATACAGGGGAAAAACCAGTTTTGTGCACTATTTGCGGAAAGAAAATGTCTACAACTGGTAAGTACCAAAAATAATTAAAAAGTTTTGTACTATTCTGTTGTCTCAAAATTGTGGTGTTGCAAAATAATTCAGGCATTAATCACATATTTTTCTGATGAAAATATTGAAAATAATGACTTTCCTTATGGCATCTTTCATTTAGATGCCTCTTTTTGCTTCAATTACAGAATCTGTACTTTATATTAAAGATTGAAAGCTAATTCAAAGTAATTTCAAAAAAGAATACTGAATTTGCATTTAGGGCTTGACCTATTCTTTTGTAACACCCTGTATAACATCATTTATTATTATTATTATTACCTTTTAAATAGTGAATAACATTTATTACTAATCCTTGTTGTATTTTGCGTTCTTAGGTCAACTGACCATCCATCTACGTTCCCACACGGGAGAGAAACCGTTCGCCTGCCCCGTTTGTTCCCGAGCCTTCACCACCAAAACCATCCTGGTAAAACACCAAAGGATTCACACAGGGGAACGTCCTTACATTTGCGACGTCTGCGGTAGAGCCTTCAATCAAAGCTCTACCCTCAGAACCCACTCGAAGATTCATAAAGCCAACACCAACAAGAAGAAGAAAAAAGTGAAACACCAAAGTAAAGAGCTGTGTTTGGGAGACAGCGCAGTTGTCGTTTTTAAAAATAGTAACGGAGTGTCCGGAAATAGCGACGAACAGTATATAGTGGACGATGTGGTGGAAATTAGCGGAGAACAATGCGAGAACGTGAAGGCTGAGTTTACTGTTATTCTTCCGGCACCTATACCGTTGCTGCAAAATATGTGATAATTGGAGCTCGGCGTGGTTGGAGACATGACGGAATCGGGCGTTATATGCTGAATGAAAAATTAATCTGGTCATTCCGTACAGAATGTAAAAACAACTGAAATTAGTCTTGAATGATTAATTCAAAAAGCGGTTTGCATAAATGTATGGTAGAACCACGATTTTCCAAGGTAAGCTGAGCAACTCGTGCCTTCGATAACTGAAAACTCCTGTAATCCAGATTTACATATTTTTTCTACTTTTAATTCTGAACAGACAAAATACGGAGTGTGACCTATTTCAAATAGAAGAATCCTTGTAAAAAATTCATTTACTAACAGATTTAATTCGATTTTTTATTTTTGAAGGAAAGAAAAGAACAGTTTTGTTTTTCAAATTGGCCAAAAATTGGTTAGCAAATTTTTTATTTAAAATTGACTACACCACTGGATACTATATAAACCAGAATTATTTTTTCAAAAGTTTATTCTTATAATAAAAACATTAAAAAAGTACCTTTTTCTCCCCTTTTAGAAACACATTTTTCCTACTGAATAGGAAGTTTTTACACCTCGTCATCATAGTGTCAAAATTGTGCATTCTATGCTTTCAAATATCCGCCTCACAACCCCGATTTGTTGCCTTGCGACTATCATTTGTTTGGTTCTTTGAAAGAAGAGTTGGAAGGCAACAATTTTGAAAATGACGAAAGCGATTGAATGAAATTGTTGCCTTCCAACACTTCTTTCAAAGGTTTTTAGTGCGTCTGTTCCAATATTTGTTGTCAATGCAGAATGGAACCGAATGTTTGTGAAGTGGTTACACACTTCCAATGGGCACGTCTTCAGGGTTCTTAGTGGCCCGGAAAACCGGGAATACTGGGAAATGAGGGAATTCATTATTCTTCATAAAAAAACGGGGGAATTTTAAAAGTATTCATGAATGTCAGGAAATTTGATGCTTGCAACTGGAAATTTTGTCAAAGCCGGCCCTGTGTTTTTTTGAAAGAGAAAATTATTTGTGGTTTTGAAACTTTTATAAGAGGTTCTTTGGGTATAAAAAAAGATTATGAGTCCAATCTAGAAAAAGTCTAATACATAAACACTAATTAGTGTGTAAAAATTAATTACAAGGCACCTAGATTTTTTTTTATAATGGAAAAAATCAACGAGTAATATGCACTTGTAATCCCAAGACAGTCACACGATAACTTCCCAGCAATAAGCCTAATTTCTGACTTCACGGGTGCTGTTTCTTCTGGTTTTCTCCACTCCACGCTTGCTTTTTCGATTCAGAAAAGTAATGGTGTACTCATGACTCGCCACGTGTAACAAGTGCCTCAAAAATTCTCCATCTGCCTGTTATCGTGCCAAGAGACTTTCACAAGTTTCGAGACCAGGTTTCTGTGCGTCTGTTAAAAAGTGCGGAATTCACATTGCCGACTCCTTTCACAAACCTGTGTAATCCGTAATATTGTTTGTGTATTTTTAAATGATATTCCAACTTTCCAATTGTCGAATCAACCGCCTCAGTATTTGAATCTGTGATGGTAATCTGGGGGCAACGGGAATGACTCAAATTGTCTACCATTTCCCGACAACAGGAAAAAGGAAAAAAAGCCGCAAAACATATTTACATTCACGTTTTAGTACATTAGATCAGGAAAGGAAACATTTTGAAATTTATTAATTACTGGGCGTGATGTTATTGTCTTGGGAATGATAATACAAGAGGCGTCTCATCTCGTGGGTCATGAAAAAAGTATAGCGTCATTGTTTTTTATCAACAATTTGTCATTTTTCGTTCTATGCATTGTTGTAAAAAAAAACTATTAATTTTACAATTAGCAAAGAATATTCAATGGACAATTTGATCTGAAGAAACTCATCTTTAAAATGAGAATATAAGTTAAAATTGCTTTATAAACAAAAAATTTATTGCAAAATTAAACGAACAAAGTGCTTTTTCTTTAATTGTTAATAACTTTTTAAATAATTAATAGAATCTTACCAAACTTTCCCAAAATGTGGGTTTTATATCCTTAAGAGATGGGCTCGATCGGTCAAATAGTTTTTGCAAAATCAACCCCCAAAAAAATTAAAATATTGATTTTTTGGGGGTTGAGGCGGTTAAATTAATTTTGAAGGGTTAAAATAATTTTGACAGCATTTTTTTATTGAGAACTATTGTCTAAAACATTTAAAAAAAAAATGCAAAAAAATTTTTTTTTCAAAAAATGGGTTTACAGGGGTAGAAATAATCCAGAAGTAATTTTTTCGTCGAGCTACCCCAAATTACAAAAAAAAAAGAAGGGGTTCTATGTTACATAGAAGCTGAGATATTACAAATTTTTCGTCAGTTTTTTCCTAATTGAGAGGAAGATCTCCCCACCACCACTCCCTGAAGGGCTACTGCCGCGTACCCTTACTTTGAGGGACTCTGTATTGATCAATTATAGGAAAATTCAATTAAAATTAACAGGGCATAAACCTTCATTTACAAAATGTTAACATTTCAGGTCTTAATGTTTATAACAAATTGCTCTGTGATTTAAAAAAAAAAATTGCTAACTCCGGACCTCATAGAAACATTTTTTTTCAATTTGTAGGTGTTTTTACGAGCTTTCGAATGGTGTATATAACTTCTTTCAAAAGTTAAAAACCGCGGTTATTTTATTTGTTTATTAGGGAAAAAAATGCTTTTTATTTGTTAACAATTATACAGGGTGTCCCGAAATTCATGCAACAAAATTTGGTCACAGATTCTTAAAACAAATTTAGGGGACCCGTATTTTTTATTTTTGCTAAGTGGCCCCCTCTTTCGGAGTTACAGCACCCTGAAATCCGCCCCTAAGAATAATCTTTTTTTTATATCTCAGAACCCTGTTGTACGAGAATTACTAAATTTGGTACACAGGGGTTTTATGACATGTGGAATCTGATGGTGCTACGTTTTTTGGCGGGGAACCCCCTTAAGACAATTTTTCGTGGGCCCCCTTGTCTTTGGAGCCAAAAAAAAATTGGTCGCATATTTAGATTTCTTAAAAATTATCAGTCCACTAGAAAGCCATTAAATTTAGAAACTTTTTGTCTCTTTATACTTTTTTCATAAAACGCAATACATATTTTCGAGAAAAATTTCAAAATGCAATCGAATGCATATCGTGATTCGCAATTTTCCTCAAAAACATTGCGTTTTTCGAAACAAATATCAAGAGACAAAAAAGTTTCTAAATTCAATGGCTTTCTAGCTAACTAATAATTAAAAAAAAATCAAATTTGCCACCAAATTTTTCTGGTTTCAAAGATAAGGGGGGCCACGAAAAAGTGTCTTAAGGGGGTTTCTCGCCAAAAAGCGTAGCACTGTGAGATTTCACATGCCATAAAACCCCTGTGTACCAAATTTAGTGATTCTCGTACAACATGGTTTTGAGATATAAAAAAGATTTCTTAGGGGCAGATTACAGGGGGCTGTAACTCCGAAAGAGGAAGCCAGTTGGCAAAAAGAAAAAATACGGGTCCCCTGAATTTGTCTTAAGAATCTATGACCAAATTTTGTTGCATGAATTTCCGGACACCCTGTATACAATCAAATTTGAAAAAAATTAATTTTTTTTTAACTAGAGGATACTTGATGTCCCTTCGAAGAAAATGCGCCCAAATGTGTTTTAGTCATAACCCTGCCCCCGGAATAGTAATTTGTAAATGGGCCTTTTTTGCAAAAATGGGATAAATATATGGAATTTTTCAAAAACTATTTGACCGATCGAGCCCATCTTTTGCACATTTCTTAAGGATATAAAAACTCACATTTTGTGAAAGTTTGGTAAGATTTTATTAATTATTTAAAAAGTTATTAACAAATAAAGAAAATGCACTTTTTTCATTTAATTTTGCAATAAATTTTTTGTTTATAAAGCAATTTTAACTTATAAAGTCTCATTTTAAAGATGAGTTCTCTAGATCAAATGGTCTGAAACAATTTTAAGATTAATAGTTTTTTTTCCACAACGCGTAGAAGGACAAATGACACATTTTTGACCTATTTGTTGATAAAAAAAACAATGACGCTATACTTTTTTCATAAACCACAAGATGAGACGCCTCTTGTCATTCCCAAGACTTTCCAACAATAAAATCACACCCAGTAACTAATAAGTTTCAAAATGTTTTCTTTCCTGGTCAGCCGGTGCCACACATGCGGAATTCGAGGAATACCAAGCAACAAACGTCTGTGGATTAACAACACCCAGCATTATTAAGTTTTGCTGATTTTCGGACATTATTTGTGGATCGGTAATAAGCGAAATACCTCGTATGTGGTGCCAGCTTTATGCATAAACTTAAAAGAATTTAATATTCTACACTTTTCCAAGTCTACTTCCGTTATTTACGTCATGTCTTCAAGCAGGCTGCATTCTAGTGATAACGGTGTTCTGTAAAAATCATGTAAAAAATTTTGTACAAATTATGAACAATTAAATTGTAATATTTTTAAAAATAAAGAATATTAAAAAATCATAAAATTGAACAGAAAAGAGACTGAAAGAAACAAACAGAAAAAAAATGTAATAAAACCCTTTATTTTACCAAAATCATTACTAAACTTTATTATCACACATATTGTATAGAACAAAATATATTCTTATAATTTGATACTGGTATTATAAGGAATATTATAAAAATATATATGCATTTAAAAAATTAAGGATATAATAGCCTGATAAAATAATAGATTAACTCATAAAGAGTAGTTATAATAGTTCTTAACTAAAAATATGCTTATTGAGTTTTTACTGTTAAAAATACTTAGATTTGATCGTTTTTGGCAGTGAAAATATAAATGGTTAACTTTTGCAATTCTTTGTAACTGTTACATATAGTAAAATGAATAAACTTACATTTTAATAAGCATTCCAGTTAAGACTGCTCCAAGTTCCTAAAATCTAATTTATTTTTTAAAATAATACAAAATTCTCACGTTTCCAACTTATTGTACTTTTGCACTCAACGCATATCAAGAATATTCTACCTTTTGTTATTTGAACTCATAATACAAGACAATTTGCGCATTAAGTGCAAAAGTGTAAATAAAAGGAAAACATCCTTACAAATGAGATTGCTTTCTTATTTAAAATGATTTATAGAATACAGGGTGGTTCGATTTTTTTTACCAAGCTTTAGGAATAAGGGGATATCAAAAAATTATGTATACTTGTTATATACAGGGTGTCGCGCTTAAATGTGGTACAGGCCTGTAACTTCCTTATTTTTTGGCCCACTTCAAACATTTTTCAGTTATAGTTTTTTTACCCTTCATTCCATAAAAAAAACTTTTAAATCGGCCAAAAAATAAAGTTACAGGCTTTCACGACATCATGGAGTGCTTGCCTGAAGATGTATCGAATTTGATGAAACTTGATGATAAGACGTTTTAAGAGATGCTAAATGAGAATAAGTAATCTGTTTTTTGGAAAAAAATCGCTAATACCAATCATCTGTTTTGATGGCAAGAAATCACGTCTTAGGTGACCGTGAATTGCATTAATAAAAACGGCAGTATCACAGTTAGATAGTTTTTTTAACCTACATTCCAAAATGTAAATTTTTTAAATCGGCCAAAAAATAAGGAAGTTAAAGGCTTGTACCACATTGTACAAGATATCCCATAATTAACTGCCAAAATTTTAACCGCATATTTAACTCAAAAGCAACAACTTCTACCTAATAATTTTTTTGGAAAATCCACCTTTTTATTCCATATTTTATATCCATTAATATTAAACTAATGAGCTATTAAATTTAAAACTATATCCTGAAGACATAAAAAAAAGTGTAAATAAAAAAAATATTAGAATACGGCGTACCCAAGAAGTTTTTCAAAAAAAATAATAGACAAAATGATTGATTTTGACGAGTTAAATGTGTGGTTAAAATTTTGGCACTCATTTCTGGAACGCCCTGTATTATACCCAATTTTTTTACTTTTTGAGATGCCTTCTACACCTTTTACCCTGTACGTTTTCTTTAATATTTTACAAACACACAATGTTTCATCGCAGAAATTTTTTAACAGAAGACTTTTTAAATGTATTTTAAATTTTTCAATTTTATTGGTATCCTAGAAAAAGAGGATGGTTTCCCGCCTATATTAAAAAAAAATTGATACGCCACTGATGAATTACAAAAATGATCAATTATTTTCTATTATACAGGGTGTCCCATCCCTTGGAAGCCCACTTTCCTAATAAATGCTTGATCTAACTCGCACTGTTCTGCCGTTACTTGATGGAGGGAACCGTATGATTTTTATTAAATCTGAAACATTTTCAATAAAAACATTCGACTTAATGGGCAGATTTTTTATAAAAGGATTACTTTTTTTTATTGTGTTGAAAAGTTTGAAAAAATAGTCACTATTAATTTTTATTAAAAGCCCTGTCGCCCCCATTTCCACAGCATCGATAACATCGAAAGATAAAATTATAGTGTAACTTTAAATGGAGGGAGGGAGAGGAGGGGAAGAGGTGTTTTTGGGATAATAGTATGTATTCCCCAAAATAATGATTTGAAATATTTTTCTTTTAATCAAATAAATACTGAACTTAAACTCTTGTCGCTACACCATCATTAAGCAACTTCTGAACTCGATTGTATGTGCGTGCTTTTCAGTGTTGCCTGTTTTACATTTTGTAACCAACTATATGAAACTAATGGAGTGGTAGAGACCAAAACTGCAATAGAAAATAATTATGTAAAAATAGATTGCTCTGCGACATGTTATTTTTGTCACCATATTATGTCGTCAATGCGAACCAAGTACTGAACATTTCTTTTAAAAAATTAGTAGGTTTTGAATGATTTATCAAATATTAACTGATATTGTTATGTGGATAAGCATAAGTTACTAATTGTAAGTAAAAATAATTCATATTTCAAAATAATAATTATTGTTTTATAAAATGTTACAAATTTGTTCTCGCTACAGGGATCTCGGAAACAGTAAGAGATACGAAGTAGCCTAAATAAGGGCAAAGTTGCGTAATCAGGGGACCAACATTATGCCTCTAAAAAATGAAGGCTATCATGATTATAGACGGAGAGATTGGTGTCAAAATCCCCCGTGATCGGACTAATGGCCAATTTTGTTTTTAATGTGTTGGTCGTATGTTGTATAACAGGGTTTCAGAGTTTGCTGACTCCCCTTGTGGGGCAGGGGTTGGGGGTGCAGGGGTAAATACGAAAATCATCCCGTGATCAGATTAACGTCAGCAATTCATAAAATATATTCTAGACATTCGTGGGAGTACGAAAATAAAAGTTGTTGACAGCCTAGTTGGGACAGGGGCGTTTAAAACGGGGTAAAATGTACCACGCGCAACCTTCGTGCGGGAAATGCGTATATCTCAATTGCTCCTTCACCAATTTCGACTTGGGAAGTTTCCTATCATTGATTTTGCTTACCGATACATGTGTATAAATATATGTACATATATAGAGGGTGTCCCGCTTAAATGTAACCTGTAACTTCTTTATTTTTTGGCCGATTTTTTTTGAAATGTAGGACAAAAAAACTGTATCTACCTGACACTGCTGTTTTTATTAATGTAATACATGGACAACTAGGACGCGTTTTGTTGACGTCAAAACAGCTAATTGGTATTAGCAATTTTTTTTTCCAAAAAACAGATTATGTATTCTTATGCAGCAACCCTTAAAACGTCATACCACCAAGTTTCATCAAATTCGGTACATCTTCAGACGAGCACTAGTTGGTGTGTTTCAAATTAACTATGACAGAAGCCGTATAATTTTATTTACCGAAAAAACATTAAATACTTGTTAGGAAAAATTTCAAATTATTAAAAAATCACGGAAAAATAAAAAATTGAATTTTATATAATAATAATCACGACAACAACAATAAGGAAGGAGCAATCGAGATATACGCATTTCCTGCACTCAGCTGGGTCACTCTGTCAGGCTGTCAGCAACTTTCATTTTCGTACTCCCCGAAGATCTAGAATATACAGGGTAGGAAAGTACCGATGGTCTATCTGAACTTACGTGAGAGCGATAAAGTAAGCCATAGAAATCCATGCGATAGAGAAGGATGGCTATAATGAAGGCTTCTCTTTGTCACCGCCCGTTTCGCCCTTCCACAAATAAGATCCACTTCTTATTTGTGGAAGGGCGAAATGGGCGTTGACTATTAGACGCCTTCATTATAGCCATCCTTGTCTATCACATGGATTTCTATGGCTTACTTTATCCCTCTCACGTAACTTCTGATAGACCATCGGTACTTTCCTACACTGTATTTTATGACTTGCTGACATTAATCTGATCACGGGTCGATTTTCGTATTTACCCCCGTACCTCCAACCTCCAACCCCTGCCCCACAAGGGGTGTCAGCAAACTCGGAAAGCCTGTTAAGATCACGGGGGAGTTTGACACCTATCTCTTAGACTAATAGGAAATGGTACACTTTGCATATTTGAGGATCTTAAACACAATGAACGATTGTGCCGAGAATATTGGATTCATCTGGGCGTGAACAAGCCAACTAACAGGTTCGACTTGCCATATCTCCAAAACAAAAACTATGCTCAACTTAAAATTTTGCCTACTCTAAAGTATCACCACAAGCTATTATTTAGACCACTTTTGAATCGAATTCGTGAGGTCGACAAAACGGACGAAAGTTTGAGTCACTCTTTATCATGTGTATTAGCAAAAGTCAAAGGTAGCGTCCACGTAAATATTACCTCAATTGAAAGTAACACCGTGTATTTAAAAATTGTGTCGTTACAAAAACATCCCAAAATTTCAACCATGTATATATCTGGGAAAATATTTCAGAAAGTGTTTTTTAAGGAAACTTTAATATTTATCAAAAAATTACGAAAGCGTAGAAAGGCCACAGAATATATATTTTCTTAAATTCTGACTTTAAACTTGGAATTTTAACTTTAAACTTGGAATTCTGACTTTTAAACTTGGAATTCTGACTTTAAACTCGAAATTCTGACTTTAAACTCAGAATTCTGACTTTAAACTCAGAATTCTGACTTTAAACTTGGAATTCTGACTTGAAACTCGGAGTTCTGACTTTAAACTTGGAATTCTGAGTTTAAAGTTAGAATTCTGAGTTTCAAGTCAGAATTCCAAGTTTAAAGTCTTGCTATGGATTATTCAAGCAATTTTACTGTACTTGAACATATACTATAACTTAAACAAAAGTAAGAAAGCAACCCCTAGCACATAGGTATACATAGTTATCATTAAGTCAGAATTTTGAGTTTAAAGTCAGAATCCTGAGTTTAAAGTCAGAATTTCGCGTTTAAAGTCAGTTCTGAGTTCAAACTCAGAATTGTGAGTTTAAAGTCAGAATTCTGAGTTTAAAGTTAGAATTCTCAGTTCAAAGTCAGAATTCTGAGTTTAAAGTCAGAATTTCGAGTTTAAAGTCAGAGTTCTGAGTTCAAACTCAGAATTCTCAGTTCAAAGTCGGAATTCTGAGTTTAAAGTCAAAATTTCGAGTTTAAAGTCAGAATTCCGAGTTTAAAGTCAGAGTTCTGAGTTCAAACTCAGAATTGTGAGTTAAAAGTCAAAATTCTGAGTTTAAAGTCAGAATTCTGAATTTAGTGAGATTTTAAGAAAAATATATTCTGTGGCCCTTCTATGCTTTCGTAAAAAATAAATTTTTATTTTTAACAATCTACCTGTTCCTAAAGTCGCATAAAAAAACGAATCACCCTGTATAAAATATAGGTAGAACATAGGAATTCCTTGTGAATTCATAGGAAACTGTAAAAAAACAGCTCCTTTATTATTTTCTTACAACGAATTATTCGTTTGAATCTCATTGCCTAAACGTACAACAGTCTAGTTTGAAAATAAAATAATAAATAAACATTTCATTTTGGTATTTTTTCTTTAAGAAAACAAATTAAACTTGCGACAACAATTACTAATACAATTAAAGAATGGAATTGATAATTATTATTAACTATTATAACCGATTCTTGTAGACTAGGTAACGTTTTTCATCATTTTTGGAGAATCACGATAAAAGAAACAGAAGATCAGTTTACTCTTATAAAATTAAAACTAACTTTAACATTATTTAGATAAACGATATTAAGTAAAAATTAACATATTTCAGAATTACATAATAAACATTATGAATAGGTAGTTAACAAATTAGAACGAACTAAGTTGCTGATTAGAATCGGTTTACTGTCTACAATTGTACTTTTCTCAATATGAGTCTTTTTGTGGGTTTTTAAAGCCGAACTTTGCCTAAATGCCTGACCGCACTCGTCACATATATAAGGTTTCTCGCCCGTATGTATTCGAAGGTGTGACGTTAAATCGTTCGACTGGGAAAAGGCCTTAGTACAAAATTTACACACGTACGGTTTCTCCCCGGTGTGCGTTCTTTTATGTCTTGCCAAGATACCGGACCTGGAGAATTTCATCTTACAAACGTCGCATTCATATGGTTTTTCCCCGGAATGTATTCTTTTATGCTTCGTTAAGGAGCTTGAGGTTGTGAACCCACGGTTGCAGACCGGACAAACAAACGGCCTTGCACCTACAAAAAAAAACAAAGTTTCTCATCGCGAGGACATCTCGAGAGATTACCTCACCTGTATGTTTCCTGAGGTGTGCCGATAGTTCTCCTTTACTAGCAAAACCGTGGCCGCAAGTACTGCAGAGATGTGCCTTAATTCCACTGTGCCTAATCGTGTGTTGTCTGAGATTTCCCAGTTGGTTGAAGCCTTTGCCGCAGGTGGAGCACAAGAACGGTTTCTCCCCATTATGTGTCCTCATGTGGTCTTTCAAGTTGGATATCTGGTTAAACCCTGCAGGAAAACTAATGAGAAAATATTTCAACTGAGGGGTAACCACTCTCTGCCATATGAGTACACTTTTGCAAGAAATCGTTCGCAATCCTATGCGATCACTCAAAATCCTGCAGTATTCTCTGATATCGCTTAAAAAAGCTGTGGAAGGGCTGTAATTCTTGACTAGCAGGCATTTATTTAATATTGTTTATTGACAGCATATGGTGCAATATCTAATTTTAGTGCCAAAACACACTGTGTATAAGCAATGAGCATATAGAAGTTGGAATAATTCATTTAAAATGTCAAAACGTAATATTTTTAAATAAAAACTCCGTTATTTGTTTCATTCACAGAAAATTATTATAAAAAAAATATGTTATTACCATTCATCACCAACTTTTTGACAATAGCCGAGACACACAGACTCTTGTAAGATTACAAACAGAACATGAATTATTTACAACGAAACTGTGCGATTTTCTTGAAAATAGTTCAGTTTGAACGAAACTAAAAACAGGGGTTTCCATTAAAAAAATATTATAAGCAATCACTTTAAAACAAATGTTGACAATCGTATTAGTTGCAGGGCAATCCACGGAAATAATGAGACTTTCACAATACGTATACTTTTTTTAGTAGTGTGGTTACCCCCTCGCTTTTAACACATTTGTGTATACATACCTTTGAAACAAATATCACAGGTGTGCGGTTTAATCCCAGTATGCACATTCATGTGGTGTGTTAACTGTTCTTGCCTTGTAAAGCCTTTGTTGCATAATCGACATTTAAAAGCCTTAGCCATGGAGTGTATTTTATGGTGTCTGTTTAAATGGGCTATTTTACTAAACTTTTTAGAGCACACGTTACAACTTAAATGGGCTTCCTTTTGCTCGTGCTCCTGAGCTATGTGATTGTCCAGATCTACTTTATGAATAAATATCACGTCACATTCTGCACAAGAAAACATAAATTCCTCACTTTTTATAACTAGTGGATTACCATGTTCGGTATCTTCCATTTGGTAATGATTAAATTGAAATTTATCGTCACCCATCTTCATTGCGTGTGCAATCTTATGTCTTATTAATAGGTCATTCCTACTGAAACGTTTCTGACATAAATCACATTCAAATTCTTTTACTTTATTTTGCTGCTTTAAGGTAGTTTCAATGTTTTGAATTTCCCCTTGCTCCACAATTTCTGGAAAGTCTTCACAATCGCTTTTATAATCAAAATCAAAGTTGTCTAAATCGTCTAAAATAATTTCATCTTGAGAAACCTTATCTTCATTTTCCATTGTTACTTCAGGTTTAACTATTTCAATATTATGTTGGTTGTCTTCTCGTTCTTCACCGTCTTCTTCATAATATACGGTTACTTTTCTCAACCTCTCTCGAAGCACCTTATCGCTCTTTTCACATTTTGTTTTAAACAGATACATATTAACCGCCATGGTGGCACAAGAGGAGCAGACCTGTTCCGGTAAACCATCACCGGGGGCCACCTAAATAAGAAAACATTTTTACTGTTTATAAACAAACAACACAGAAAAATTTACCTGTATGGAGACACATGAAGTCATCATTTCCGACAATTGTAGAAAAAGACCTGAAATATCCTCGGCAACGAACAATGAATAAAATTCACCTTCCTCTGTTAAACAAGCTCTGCAGACGTTTCTCAACTCATATTCTTCCATTTTTTGAGAAAAGTGTTTTTAAAAACTTTTGACAATCAATGGTATATTTCCAGTGACTCTAGAATTACGTGGCTTGTGCAAACGCTTTATAGAGGTCGCTTTCGAATAAAGTCCCTAAATTGACAATTGACCTATTGACCTATGTGTATTGAAAGCAGTTGTATAATCTTAATTCTGTGGTTTTTGATTAAATTTTCTTTTTCGTTAGTACATTCCTGATAAAAACGTTATTTATTTATCTAAGACTAGTATTAAAGAAAAATAAAATGCAAGATTCTTTAAAACCATTTTACTCTAAACGACTTGTATTTATTTTACTATGGTTACATTATGAAGTCAGAAATGACGTCATAAATGCTTTTTATCCTATATACTTAATTGTGTTTTGTTTATTCCATATTATTAAATAGCTGATGTTAACAAAGATATCTCAGACAGGTAATAGAATATATACAGGGTGTCTCATAATTAGCTGCGAACCCTGAACAGGCCAATTCTATGATCAAAACTAAGTAAAAAAGTTCACATGAACATGGGTCCGGAAATGCTTCCTAAGGGCACCCATTGAAGAGGGAGGAATGGAAATCATTTTTTTGCAATATCTCTCAATCGCGTTGTGATAAATGAATGAAATTTGGTATACACAGCTAAATTTTGATGAGCATTTTGATGGACTAATCCATTTATTTCCACAAGGTCCATTGGGGTGGGTACGGGAGGGGCCCTTGGTACTTTGCGTGTGTAACTTTTTCATCTTTGACTTTTTAACAAATTGGACAGCAAATTCCGTTTTCCCGAACTGTTTTACGTTAAAAAGGTACTCTTGTTTCAAATCGTTATCTTTAACGGTTTCTGAGAAAATCGCTCTTGAATTAATCCCACTTTGGTCAATGTCATAGTAATTTAAACAAAAAAAAAAAATTTTGTTTAAATTACTATGAAATTGACCAAAGTGGGATTAATTCAAGAGCGATTTTCTCAGAAACCGTTAAAGATAACGATTTGAAACAAGAGTACCTTTTTAACGTAAAATAGTTTGGGAAAACGGAATTTGCTGTCCAATTTGTTAAAAAGTCAAAGATGAAAAAGTTACACACGCAAAGTACCTAGGGCCCCCCCGTACCCACCCCAATGGACCTGGTGGAAATAAATGGATTAGTCCATCAAATTGCTCATCAAAATTTAGCTGTGTTTACCAAATTTCATTCATTTATCACAACGCGATTGAGAGATATTGCAAAAAAATGATTTCCATTCCTCCCTCTTCAATGGGTCCCTGTGCCCTTAGGAAGCATTTCCGGACCCATGTTCATATGAACTTTTTTACTTAGTTTTGATCATAGAATCGGCCTGTTCAGGGTTGGCAGCTAATTATGAGACACCCTGTATAGATACTACCCGCATCAACAACTTTGTTTAAATATTGCAGATTGTAAAATAAAAAAAATAAAATCGGGATTGTGGGAAAAAAATATTATTCAGAGATTTCAGGGTGTCCAATACATATCTCCTAATCGTTCGGAAACGTGGAGGTAGGTCAAAATAAACAATATTACTCCCTATACATTATACAGGGACAGGGTGTTCCGTATAAGAACCGACACAGAGCAGAAACATGTAGGAGAACAAAATATGGTGATTTAACGCAACCTTTATTCTAAGTTGTATGTACCCCTGCCTGAGAAGTTATAGGCCTTGAAAGTGGGGTTTCAAATTTCGAAAAAGTCAATATATCGGTTACTCAGAAAAACCAAATTTGGTAGACGGTGTGAGTGTATCAAGAGCATTAATCCACATTAAGTAGAGTTCAATTGAAGCATTTTAAAGGGTTGATAAGGGATTATGATTAAAATGTGACAGAATATTTTAACACATTAATTGGCGGACTTAAAAAATTATTACTTTATTTTATGGGGAATTTAATTAATTCTAAAACTTTTCTTATTCTTGTTTTCAAAAAACACGAATAATTGATAGTACATATTGCAGCTGTTATTTAAAATCATCGAAAATTCAAAAGTTGGCTATGAATTTAAATGTTTTTGTTGGTTTAGACTTAATTTTTGAATAAATTTATGCCTAAGAGAAAAGAAAACGGTGGTCATTTTGAACAACTTCTGTAACATGTCAGTGCAATTGTATATGTTATTTATGTTGTTTGTTTTTCTATTAAATTATTTTTATTCCAACTTTTTTCCTGATCAAGTTTGACATTTAAATTCATAGCCAACTTTTGAATTTTCGATAATAACAGCTACAAACGTATTAACTATTAGTTATTCGCGTTTTTGCTGAAAATGACATAGTTTTTTGAAAACTATAGTTTTAGAATTAAATTCCCCATAAAATAATCATTTTTTAAGTCCGCCAACGGGTTAAAAAATTCTGTCACATTTTAATGGCACCATCCTTTTAAGAAGTTTCAATTGAGCTTTACCTATTACGTCGATTAATGCTCTTGGTACACTCACACTGTGTACAAAATTCGTTTTTTTAAGTTCAAGTATAAGTAAGATTGATTTTTTTCGAAATTTGAAACCCCACTTTCAAGGCCTATAACTTCTCAAGGGTGCAGCTTAGTATAAAGGTAAGCTGCGTTATATCACCATATTTTGGGTTTCCCTACATGCCCATGGTTTGTCTCGGTTCTTACGAAACACCCTGCATATTTTTGTCCTAGTGTTCATCCTAATACAGATATCAGACCCCAATAAATGTATTATAAATAAAGTCCATGATTTGCTGTTAAAACTGATGTGTTACTATTAAAAGGTATCCAGAAATGAGTTAGTCCTGAATATTATCCTGATTATTTTAAGTTAGGTACTGTTCATTTATTGCTATTCATAGAACAGATGTTGAGCTAAATCAATCGACTAATTTGATTTAACTTTAATGCAAAAACCTTTATTAAGTCAAAAATTTTGGATTTACAGTGTCCAAAATTGATCTTATTTTCAGCTTTTACTGCGGCAATACTCATGAAACATTTTAATAATCGCCCTACCAAAACCATTAGATTTTTACTCAAAAAGAACTTATTTATTTAACATCGTAAATACTAGAAAAGAACTCAATTTTTGAGGTAAATGAAACGCTTCATAGAATTATTGAAAAGTTTAATTAAAACAATCTACAGACATATTTACAAAAGATTTTTCGGAATATCTCTTTGTGTGTTATAAACCTGTGTTAAGAAATTACTTTTAAAAACATTTATTAACAAACTGAAAGCTAATTGTAGTAAAAACAGACATAATTAAAATTATGAATAGAGAACTCATATTAACAAATGTAATTAGGATAACATATTTTTGTCTGCAATTATTTTGTATTAATTTTTGTGTGAAATATTTGAGAAAAATAAGCAGCTGAAATAGTGAATTTTTTAACAGGTCCTACATTAGAGAAAATGAAGAGGTTCCGTTTTTGAAAAATTAAGAGATTCCACTTTCTCATATTCCAACATTGGTTCATTTTTTTCTAGTTCTTGAGGATGATACTGTACGAATAATTGACTAACGCCCTCATCAGGCTGCAAGATACTCTCTTCTACATAAGTCATACCATGTTTATTTTCTATATGTTTGCTTAGAACGGAATTGGAGGTAAATGGTTTGTTGCAAATGTGGCACACATAAGGCTTATTGTGAGTTTTTTTATGCTTTGCTAGTCTACATGGTTGGTAGAATTTCATATCGCATATATCGCACGCCCAATTTTTATATTCATCCCCTTTTTTTCCAAGATGATTTCTTTCGTGGTTCTTTAAATCGTTGGAATTAGAATATGCTTTAGGGCAAGATGCACATATATACGGTTTGTAACCGGAATGCACCCACATGTGTCGATTTAATCTCGTGGAACTGACGAAACCTTTTCCGCATTCGCTACACAAGTAAGGACGTTCGTAGGTGTGATACGTCCTGATGTGTAACTGTAAATTATCCGACTGGCTGAAGCACTTCCCGCAGTAACTGCAACAGTAAGGCAGACTGCCAGAATGCAGGATCTTGTGCCTCTCTAAATTGGAAGAGATTTTAAAGCTTTTACTGCACGTTTCGCACTTGTAAGGCTTGTGCTCTTCGTGGGTTTTCATGTGCCCAACAACACCAGCCCAACGGACAAAACCTTTATTGCAAATTTGACACTTAAATGGCCGTTCGCCGGTATGAGTTCTCATATGAACAGTGAAAGTACTTGGATTAGGGTACCGTTTACCGCAAATTTTACACACATAGTCTTTGGCGACCATATGGCCTTTTAAATGTCCTATTAGTTTTTTTGAATCTTTAAATTCTTTTCTGCATATATTGCACTGTAAAGCATTAGGTTGGCAAGTGTTCAATTTGTGTTCTTTTAAAGCTAATACTGACTCAAACTCTTTTTTGCAAGTGGTGCATTTATATGTAATATCCTCATTTTTTTCAATTATCTTTTCTAGTACTTCTATATTCACTAGTGGCTTGATGGGAACAAGAGGGGGTGTATCTTTGGGTAAATCTTTCACAACTGTTTCATTATGCCTATGCTTTTTAACAGGTGCTAAGGGTACTAGTGGAGGAGGTCCATCTGTAAAAATCTGTACGGTATCACCACTTTTAAAGTCCTCAATGTTGGACTCGCTTAAATCTAATTCCTGTAATTCATCGCCTTTAAATTCATGTTCCCTTCTACCAATTTGTTCTAGTTTAATTATTCTTTTACTTAATGGAATGTCTTCTTCACTTACTTCCCCATTATCTTCGATTAACTGTATTAAAGTATCATTAGGTTCATCTGTGCCGTCTGCAGTCTCATGAATTTCAGCTTCACTTAAAGCAATGTTAATAATATCACTTTGTTTTATTCTGTTATATCTAATATATTGTCTCAGTATCCGATCGCTTCTTTCCATTTTCTTTTTAAATGCATAGAATTTAGAAATCAGATGAAAGCAAGTGACACAAACGTTGCTGGGTAAACCATCGTTTTCCGAAACCTGAAATTTTATTTAAACAGAAGATATCTTTTGTTTAATAACTTATAATTTCTTATATATTTTCTGGTCATTTAAAAAATATTTCACGTTTAAGTAAATGTGATCACCTGTACAGAGGCACAACTTTCCATCATTTTTGGTATTCTAGTTGGGTATATATCTCTCAAATGTCCTCTTTCTGACAAACACGACCTACATACTTTTTCTAAATTAATTTGTCTAGTTTTGTTGATTTCTCTGGACATTGTGGAAAAAGTAAATATTTATCTTTGGACCCGGTTCAATAATTTTGACATTTCATTCCATTATTTATTGTCAAAATATTTTTGACAAATGAAGGACTGGTTATAGATTTAAATTAATTCCTTAGCAACAGCCAATCAAATGTCTCGTACCATAGCAACCAAATTGGATATAACTGCAATCTAGCCGGCTGTATTTAAATCTAGTGATATATTTTGTGATAAATTAGTAATTTAGTCATCAATCATAGATTAGATACAGATTTTACAGAAAAATTTTAAATCGTTTTTATTATGAAAAGGACACATGAAGAAATTGTTTTACAAATAATTTTGAAATTTTTTTCAGTGCTTTTGAATATTGGTTTTTAAATTTTGGGATTTCTTAGTTCAATTCAGATTATTTTATAATTATTGCATATAATTGTTGATCTTTTAAATATTTCTAGTGTTTTTGAATGTTTTTTAAATTTTGGGAAATATAGATTCTACCTACATTCTTAATTTAACAAAGATTTATTTATTTTGTTTTGTAATTATTGTATCAGTAGTTATATTATGTTTTAACTGTTGATAATTTAATGGGTAGGTATTATTATTTTACAGGTAATTTTGAATTTTTTTGGTGCTTTTGAATAACATTTTTCAATTTTGAGACAATTATTATACGTTTGAATAGTTGATAATTAAGTGTACATTATTTGAGTATTTTTAAAGTATTTTTTTAGTGCTTTTGATAACAGTATTTAAAGTTTGCGACTTCTTAGTTCAATCCGGATTTATTTACAAGTAATTTTGAATTTTTTCAGGTAATGTTTTTGAATAATTACATATGTTTTAATTGTTAATAATAAAAGATATATATATAATCCTTAGGTTTTTATTTTATACTCTATACATTTTTTTATATACATTATTTCTGAATTTTCTGAATTAGTAACACTTTAATAAATAAACATGCAAAGGCTCCAAATGAAACTTTGTTTTTACTTCTTATATACATACATTTGACTAACCTGGTAATATTTTATTGCTCACAGTACTAAGCTCTTAATATAAAGTGAATGTAAATATATATTATATATAAATTAAACATAAACTGTTTTTTTAGGAAACCTCTTGATCTACTGAATATTCCTCCTTTACACAATTCTCTTGATTTTGAGAACCGTTTTCATAAGAAAACTCTCCTAAATTTATTTTAAAAACTCCATGTTTTTTCCTGACGGCCTCTCTGTAGCTTTCTTTGCTGATTTCATCATTTTGTTTATACTTAACAAACTCGGTTTCTACATAATCAGAACAGTCGGTCTCTTCTTGTTCATCATTCTCGTTTCCTTCTTCTACATCTTGTTCTTCCACATATAGCAATTCTTCGCAATTTTCCGCTTCTTCCTCATCATGCTCCACCATAACATTTTCTTCATTTACTGTTCCTATGATGTCTTCTAGCATAAGGTGCTCTACACTGATGGCTTCGTCACTGTATTTGCATTCACTTAAAACGTGCTTAGAAAATTTGTTTACTTTGTCTGTTGCGTATGTGCATTTTAGGCATTTGAAAACTCCAGCCACATGACGATCACAATGGACAAGCATATGCTTATGTAGGTCATTTTTTCTCTTGGTTTTATATTGGCATTCAGAGCAACTGAAAAGTTTTATATTTGCGGTATCTTTGTGATTCAATATGTGCTTTGGTAGATCTCCTTTTCTTTTCGTAACATACTCACAGTAATCACATTTATACAAAGGAACTTCGCCGCTTGGTTTGTGGCATAAAAGGTGTTTCGGTAGGTCGCTTTTTCTCTTGGTCTGGTACGGACATTCTGGACATTTGAACATTTGTACTGTAAAACAGAATATATTAAGTATACCTAATTACTACCTTATTTGTTTCAATTTGTTAAAACTACTTACTGAATAATATATTTAGTGGTATAATTTTACGTACCATTTGTACAATGTGCAAGCATATGCTTGGGCATATCATTTTTCCGTTTAGTTTCGTAGGGACATTGCGAACATTTATATATGGTAGTAGTATCAGAAGACCTATGCGTAAGAAGATGTTTTGGCAAATCGTGCTTACGTTTGGTTTCATATTTGCAATGGGGGCATTTATATGAATCAGGTACGTCTTTTTTTGGTTTCTTTTTAGGTGGCAGATCGTGTACCAGAACCACTATATCTTCCATTTCTTCATCAATATCTTCACATTTTTCTTCATGGCTTTGTATATGTGCGTCTAATTCGTCGATATTATCAGTTTCAAAGGTACAGAATTTGCATACTAGTATTTCTTTTATTTGATCCTGAAAGTTTATCGGTTCGTTGTATTTCCTCTTCATTATTACAATTTAAAATATAGGTTAAAAGTCAAAGGATTAAGGTTGACAAGTATTTGATTACACTTTTTCTCTTCAACTTCTTCTAGCGTGGTCACTTTTACGTTGCGGCAAGAAGTTATTCATCAGAATATGGCGTCAGTGCTCAGTGCAACCAATAGCTATGAAAACTAAATCGAAAGTCCCAAGATTCTAATAGTGTGTTCCCAAATTCAACATTTTAATTCAAATTAAAGCCAAAATAAGATAATTTGTACATATAAAGTCTTTTTTATCATATTTCGGATTTGGGCTGTCTATCTATAATATGGGCAGAAAAATACGCATATTAATTGTTGTCTTTGTCTTTTATTTTCTGCGTTTTTGTGTGACGAAAAAAATTTTTGAGGAGGTATCACCCTTTACATTAGGATCTAAAATTTTTAATTTTCTGGATAAAATTATAATAAGTAGTTGTGATATTAAAAATATAGCAAATACTAAAAAAGTAATATTAAAAAATTAATTAAAAATGTGTTATCAGAATTTCAGAATTCAAAGAAAGTGTGGCCAAAAAATCAAGTGCATGCATGGCTTTTATCTTTTTGGTTCATATACTACTTGAAAATTGTTAAACAATCGTGTGTCTAGGATTTTATTGTTAACTATATTATTAACAAAAATGTAACAACAAATTAGGGTGGCCTTTATAACTTTTAGATACCATTTTGTGAAAAAAGCTGAATTCTACAAAAAAGTAGGGACGCAAATTCAACAGTATTCAGTTAAAATAAAAGACTAATGTAAAAATATAAAAAATCACATACAAAACAAAATAAAACTGTAAATTCATCAATAACGGTATAAATATAAAAAAAATATCTGATTTTCTATTTTTGCTTGATTGGGTAGTTCTACCAAACTGAAAATAAAAAAAATTGAACACAACTCCTTACCCCAAAACTGATCAGTAAGGGGTTGATCTTATAAATTTGGTTTTGCCCAAGCAGAAATATCTAATACTCGGAAAGTAGATAATTATTATTTTCATGACTACACAATCAACATTACACAGTTAAAACTAGAAAAACTCTCTTTTAGTAAACTGAACTTTCCTTATAAAATATCATAGTATTTTGTTTTATTTATCTACCTTCCATTGATACACAGCGTGTTCCAATTAAGACTTTCCACCTGGAAAATATCGGAATTAAAAAAAAACAAAAAAAAAACAGAGACACGTCGATTTTCAAGGGGGATACGTGATGGGGTAAGTTTTGGTGTTTTGGAGGCTACTCCTTAGGCAGGCGAGTAAAATATCCTTAAACTTTAAATGGCACCATAATATGTTGAGTGACACCCCATTTTAAAGCTTTTTCAATTCTGCTCACGACTTCATACAACTTTTTAAAGTTTGGTTTGGATTTGACAATAAAATCATCACTTAAAGAATAAGACACAATATCCATGAATAAAAGAATGTTATTTTATTAAATGTTCAAATTGTTTTCCCTCCGCTTTCATACAACAATAAAATTTTTGCTTCACTTCCGAGCGAACATTTCGAAGCATTTCGGGCGTTATCTAACAACATTCTTCAATAAATCGCCGATGAAGCTTTTCAAGTGAGTTCGGTCGTGTTGCATAAATTTTCGACATTAAAGCCCGGTACTTTGAGCTTGATTAACTGATCAGGCCATTAGATTGAACTTATATTGGTTTATTTTATAAAGTATAATCACAGTATAATCGCTTGATTAGTTAATCAAGCCTTAACCGAGACTCAAAGTACTGGGTCCCCGTAGAAAAAAGTCTAAGGGCGTTAGATCTGGCGATCTGGGAGGCCACTCAATTGAACCTCTGCGTCCTATCCAGTGATTTGGAAAGTTTTAATTAAGAAAATCATGCACAGCTAGGGCATAATGTGGTGGAGCACCCTCCTGCTAAAACCACACATCCACTTCTGGCAAAGCGTTTATTTCCCAATACTTCCACAATCATCGGGTAGATTTTCTTTTCCAGTAGATTCAGATAAATGTTTCCATCCAGATTTTCCGATAGAAAGAAAGGCCCTATGAGATGGTCTCCCAGTAAATATTCTCGACCAAATATTCAATTTTCTCGGATGCTGCGTATGATTTTCATGAAAAATGCATATCCATGAAAGGTATTCGTATTTCGGGATATCGAGCAGCAAATTCTTTATGTTCTTGAAGTTACTTTGTCTTTTTCACAATTTGCCAAAAATAACCAACAAATTAAAATAATTCTTATTAAACGATCCCAAGGCATTTTTGTTTAAATTTTTGGTAAAAACTATTATAGACACAACAATAATTTGACAACTAACTGGTCAAGTTATTTTAATTGTTTTTGGAGTGTTTCTGGTAATGGCCAATTTGACAACAGGTCTAATACGAGAAAAACTGTCCAAAAACTAGAAAATTGCAAATATCTCTAAAAGTAGTAAAAAATATTTGAAAAACTTGTTCCCATATTTATTTAGTCTTACCCATATATAGGTCTGGTCGAACTAAACGTGCAGGTGGTTGAAATGTATACGACCAGTTGAAGAATGCGAGCGCGGGCAAACGAAATGTAACACAACTTTATTGGGCTTCTGGCAATAACACACAGCAGGCGACAAGTGGATCATAAATTGTCCAGCAGTGCAGTGCTGCAGTGCGGAATTTGGTGTGAATCAGGCAATTTTAATTTATTATAGGCACCTTTTATCAATCATTCATATTACAATTGTGAAAGGGAGAAATAAGAGGGATACCTATTTTGTTTACTAATATTATCACAACATGGCATTTTGGAGACCTTTTGAAACAGAACAAAACAAAATTTACCACCAATATAATAAAATTGTTTGAGGACATAAATAATTAAAATATGTTGTTGGTCAAATGAACATACAGGGTGTTCCTAAATAAGTGTCGCAACGGAAAACTGTAAATTCCTCTTGAAAAAAGAAACATTTTTTTCCTCTTCCATTTTTCTCTCCGGGCTTTCGTTTTCGAGATACACGGTGTCAAAACTTTAATTTTTTTTAGTTTTTCGCCAATATCTTAGGAATCGTTTGAACTACAGGACTGAGCTTTTGTACACACATTACCACTATTAATAGCTACTTTTTCGCACCCTTCTCGAATTCATTGGACGTGCCAGTGGTGGAGATTTTAAGGTATCGTAAGGGTTTTCCCCCCCTAAATTTTACGCCACTGGAAAAATTGACTTTTGACAGCAAATTCTAAAGCGCCAATGAATTTTACACAATAAGAGTTCTCTTGGTTCATTGCTCTAAAGTCAACCGTTTTCAAGAAAAATGACTTTTTATGAACAAAAGCAAACATTTTGCTAACGTTTCGAAAATCTTTTGTAATTCAAAAAATAGGTAGTAATAATTAACAATTTTAACGAAATTTAACAACAGATAGGATTTTAACTTTTTTTTATCAATTTGGCGAGTAAAATTTACAGAAACTGTTCAAAATTACGTCCGTTGGCTTGAATGCACGCATTACATCTTCTAATCATGTTTCTTTCTGCCGCTGCGGCTTCACCTCTATCGGTCAACTTTTCGATAGTATTGACATGGAACGTTAGCAAAAATGTTTGCTTTTGTTCATAAAAAGTCATTTTTCTTGAAAACGGTTGACTTTAGAGCAATGAACCAAGAGAACTCTTATTGTGTAAAATTCATTGGCGCTTTAGAATTTGCTGTCAAAAGTCAATTTTTCCAGTGGCGTAAAATTTAGGGGGGGAAAAACCCTTACGATACCTTAAAATCTCCACCACTGGCACGTCCAATGAATTCGAGAAGGGTGCGAAAAAGTAGCTATTAATAGTGGTAATGTGTGTACAAAAGCTCAGTCCTGTAGTTCAAACGATTCCTAAGATATTGGCGAAAAACTAAAAAAAAAATTAAAGTTTTGACACCGTGTATCTCGAAAACGAAAGCCCGGAGAGAAAAATGGAAGAGGAAAAAAATGTTTCTTTTTTCAAGAGGAATTTACAGTTTTCCGTTGCGTCACTTATTTAGGAACACCCTGTATAATAGAAATTTTCTACACATATACAAATTATTATAATTTTTTACCTTCAGCAGAAATTTTTTTTAGTGACGCCTATGAAACTAATTAAATTTTATTACCAGACTTTTTTTTGCATATTCAACTGACTTCGGAAGGACTATAGATGTAATGTAAATATAAATTGCGTTTTACAAAATTAAAGTGTGAAAAAGTTTTTAATAGGCATAATACTCGTAACTAATGAATGTTATGAAAATGTGTCGTATAGCCTGCTAGATAGTCTCTAAAGATGATTTAATATTATTTAATAAATCCAAATATCAGAGAGAAAAACGTTGTGTTAATAAATTTTACCGCAATACACCAGTAAAGTAAAATCTAGCAATTTTAAGCTATACATAAATGTTCAGATTGGATTCGAATTGATATACCTACTAATTCGATTTTTCCATAAATGGATTCTAATCGATATACCGATTTTCAGGCATACTATACCGACTTGATTCGACATTTTAATTCAATTTGACAATTCGATTCGATTCTATACTCCGATTCGAGTTTCTCTGCGAATCTATGAATCGATTCAGAAACAAAATCGATTCGAATCGATATATCAGTTTTGTGTCCAGGTGAACACCAGAAACAAATTATTGGTTTCTGAATTATGTAGTTTTAGTGAAAATGAAAAAATCACTTTCTCTATATCCACAAATTTTGACATATGACTTTTTAAAGGGCCAGTCCGCATGTACAACTCGCCATGAAACACCCTATGTAAGCCTTGTAAGCCTATAGTTGGCGTAGGTATATTTTAGGAAATTGTGTTGCTGTGGTTTGCTCAATCAATAATTGGAACTTGTATGTTTTGGAGCAGAAAATAAACACACAGGGTATAAGTAGGGGGCTCACGTTGCAAACAGCGTGAATTTTATGTCGACTTCACTTCAGCAGGATACGTTTATCCTCATCTCTTTCTGTTCAGTCGCTGTTGCGTGCTCTTCTCTCCTTTCATCAGATCTCGGGTCAAATCATTCTTACTAGTATTCTGCTAACATCGCATCGTGTCAGTTGTATATACACAGTGACGGCAGTTTAAAAATATCTTATCGCTTTTTGAAAATGTTATTTATCAGGACGATCTTCAAATTCTTCCGTAAGTAAAACATATGTTTCACGATTTTTGATGCTGTTGACAATTAATTTTTACGCTTATTTTTTAATAATGCATGTTTTCCTAAAGATAAACATAATTAGTTCAATGAAATGTCTAACTCATTAATTAAAATTACTTGTGTAATGTAACGTCAAATAATTAAAAATATTTATGTGCTTTTTGGAACAGCATTTATTCTATCTGTATAACAGTCGCTTCTACCGGAAAAAGTTTTCATTAAAGTTTTATGATTTTGAATGCATTCCCGTAAGAATCAGTTGTACTATATTCAGCTGCATGTTTATTTTATCACTTATTTTCTGCATTTAATTGCTAATTATAACAATATTATTTACAAAATTATTGCGCAAATAAAAATATCATCAAAATATATCCTGCCCGGTTGACAACTGTACTATCAATTGACGTCTTATAAATAATTAAGCATATTTATTAAAAAATATATACATATTGTTGTTTATTAAGGCTTTGTACAATTTTGTGTATGATACATCTATCTTTTCAAAGTTGATGAATTATTTTATCTAGGTATTCTGTGGAAATGCTTTTCAAGGGTCTTATAATTTTTTCCGCATATACAAGGTGTTATTTAAGTACGAGGCTAAACTTCAAGAAGTGATTCTTTCAGTGACTCTAGGTCGAAAAGTTTATATAAACATATGTACGGTAATGCTTCGTTTTCAAGTTACAGGGTGTCACTTTTTTAAAAAATCGTTTTTTTCGTAAAAATCTTATTAAGTTCTGTGGCGTCCCGGGGGGGCACCTTAACCAATATAAGTATTAGACAAAAAAAGAAATGTGCGCCACTGACCTTTTTAAAAACTTTTATCATTTTTTTTTCTCGTAGTTTTACTTAATATTTTTTTAAATCTGTGAAATACATTTAATTTTTTTAACAATATACAGGGTGCCGACGAAAGTTTTCCCTTTGCATATGCTATTTATTGGAAAATGAAATTTTATTCATATGGAAAATAATAAAAATTGAAAGAATGGGAATTATAGTTAAAATTAATTCTGAGATTTAAAAGTTATAGAATGCAAACAATAAAGATGTATTTTTTTACTAAGAGCATTAAAAGCGTTTCTACATGATGCAATTATTTGCTATATAGTTGTCAAACATAAACAAATGCTTTATCGTGGAGACGTTTCATACTGCTAGACACGAAAGCATGTCTTCACTTGCCAAATATTCGGCTTAGCCGAAATTCCTCTTATAGGTTTTTAATAATTATTATAATTTGTTTTTAATTATATGTTATATTTTTTATTAACTATCGTATTTTTTACTTTATTTTTAAAGTTTTTCCGAAGTCAATTGAAGAACCAATAACTTCAAGGTATGTACCAGGCTCGGTCGCTACGCAGCAACTCGGCATTGAAATATTTAAAAAACTTGTTCCCATATTTATTTAGCCATACCGATAAACAGGTCTGGTCGAACTAAACGTGGAGATAATATACGTTCAGTTGAAGAATGCGAGCGCGGGTAAAAGAAAACGATTACAGTTGTATTGGGCTACTGGGCAATAAATCACAGCAGACGACAAGTGGTTCATAAATTGCCTAGCAATGCAGTGCAGCAATGCGGAATTTGGTGTGGATCAGGTAATTTTAATATATTATAGACATCTTCTATCAATCATTCATAATACAATTGCGAAAGGGAGAAATACGAGGGATATTTTGTTTACTGATATTATCACAACATGGCATTTTGGAGACCTTTTGAAATGGAACATAACGAAATTTACCACCAATATAATAAAATTGTTTGAGGACATCAATAATTAAAATATGTTGTTGGCCAAATGAACATATAATAGAAATTTTCTACACATTATATACATAAATTATTATAATTTTTTACCTTTAGCAGAAAATTTTTTTAGGGACGCCTATGAAACTCATAAAATTTTGTTACCAGACGTTTTTTTGCATATTCAACTGATTTCGGAAGAACTACTATCGAAATAAATGAAATAGACCCCTGAGTTTGGAAACCGATATTAAGAAAACGTAGGAGCGAAAAAAATTGAAATTTGGACCATATATAGCCTCACTATTACTCTATTGTGTGCTAAAACTTCAGTTTGTTTCGTTATCCCATTTTTTAGTTATTATTGAAAATGTTGAAAAAATCACGGTTTTCTGCCTACAGAATTGATATCTCATTTTAACTCGTCGTAATTTTCTTGTTAATTCATAAAAAAATTCCAAATTTTTACTGACTATAAGTCGCACTATTGTCTTTAGTACTGCGAAGGTCATTTGTCTCAAAAGCTCTTCTTTTTTTTATTTTTTAGCAAAACATAAGGGAGTGCTATCTCCGTAAATATCGCGTTCTTTAAAAAAAAGAAGATGTTCAGCATATTGTAGTACGCAGTGGCGGCTCAAATGATAAAGTAGAATAATTTTTTGGCTTGCTTTATTTTCATTTTTATTGGCTACTTGATTAAACTCTTCGGAACTATTAGGAATTTTTGTAATCTTATTTTTAATTTGTCTGATTTAGTGTTAAGTGTTACCACAAAAAATATTTTTAGACATGTTTTTAAAATTGTTATTGAGCAGTAAGGGGCACATTCATGTTATCCTTAATGTTATTTATGTATAAATAATATTTTCCATTGCGGTTTAAGCGGTTTGAAATGTATCGCAAAATAAACAAAACTTTGGGAAAGATTTGACATGTTAAAATAGTAGAACAGGAGTACAGGGAAAAACAACATTTAGTAGATATCTCTATAGATATCATTTATTTCGATAGTAGGCTAATTCAAATAAACTCAAAAGATTTTTTCCTGAAAAGTGCTACTAAATGAAGTCAATGTTCTTCGAGAATAAAAATCTAGACATGCAAAAGATATATAACCCTACAGACAAGATTCCTAAGATTCCTGTTGATATGTCCCAAATAGCATTGGCATATTTATTTGAATCAGTTTAATACCTTTATATTTAAAATGATACGCATATTTCCACATTTTACTTAAGATTACTTCTTTTACATTTTTAGTAAGATTTATTTGAATTATCTTAGTACCTTTATAATAATAATTATTATAACACTGTCCTATGTTGAGGCTCATACAAGTATGCACAAACTACTATAGGTAGACTAGAAGCAGGGAAAGACCGGTCTTAAAGGATGTATTTCTTTTAAATATATTTATTATTAAAAATGTGTTAAAAAACGCCTTTTCTTATTACTTATTTTTGTATCTACAAACGTCAGTTAAAAGAAAATCAACACTTTCAATTTCACCCTGTATAAGCAAATAATTCAGCAGAAAGGAAATGTCTTGGTAATATAGGTCTATGTAAATCTTTCAATCCCAACTGATCTTAATTTAGAAGCAGCACTTACTCTTATTTATACGAAAAAAGGTTATTCGATACACATATAAATGTACATTTTGTATTACAAAAACTTCCAATCCAATTCGTTAGGATCTATTGAATTTCAATTATAGTTATCGACAGGAAATATTAATTTTCAAAGATTTCTGCTTCAATAAAAGAGTAGCAAATGTCAGTATGACATTCGAGTTAATTAAAACTTCAAAATACTGTTTAAAATATGCTCTTGTCCATTATTTATGATAACTAATACTATTTGCTCCGTACTTATATGGAATATAAGGTTAACATATCATAAAAACGCAATTATTATTTTAACTTTAAAGGGATGTATGGTTTCAAACAGTCAAAAGCTTTGACAGAATTCATGTTTGAAATAAATTAGGTAATTCATCTGATTTAATGGCATGTTATAAATAGATTTCAACTAACCCGGATCTAAATCAAGATGATACGATGTCCAAATATTGTATTCTTCTATTTCGACCCTTAACCTGAAAGTGTTTTTTTTATCTATCTTATCAAATTTTGAATATCAGCAGTCCCCAAACGAGAAAATCCTTAAATTAAGGTAAAATAGGCGTAGCCTCTGCCACAATCAACAACAAAATGATAATTAATAAATGATTCATTTAAAAATTAGTCCAATAGTATCAAGAGTGATTTGGTATTTAAAAATCTGTAAACGGATGTATTTTTCTACTAATTTCCATTTTGAACAAGCTATTTATTTATGTTCCAATAAATTTATAATGAAAAACCATTAGGTAGGTTTGTTTCGTTTTACAAGTATGTTCATGCTAGAATACAAAAAATATTCTTAAAAAAATACGGAAAAACTTATTTTTTAATTCATAAAGAGTAGACCACGTGACTAAACTATTTTTGGTACGATTTAATTTGCAACTCACCTGCATAATTCATTCATCCCGTTTATTTTTGTGTGTTTCTGGCCACAATATCGATTGTGACCGATTACTGTCACGTTTATTGCTAAAAATAGATTACAAAAACGTGTAGCGCCATATCGTTAATTTAGTTATTTAAACAGACGTAGGTATTTTGTTGAAAAGTAGCATTCCTTTATCGTCTATAATTGGTGAAGAGAAACATTCTGTCACAAATAGGTTTTTCTTCTTCTGCTTTCTTTCTTATTTAGATTTGTTTCATATTTAAATAATTAAGTGTATATTAAGGAATTAGCATGTTTTACTTTCCAGACAGCAAATGTGTCAGTAAATAACCATTTGCGGATAAATGTCGTATAAGCCTGATAACATATGCAAGGAAAAGAATTTTTAGTTACCTAACTCAAACGGAATTTTTTTTCTTTAAATCATTGTTTATTTAAGACAATGTTATGAAGAAGCATTTCAAACATTTGTTGTGAATTTTCTATAAAACTTTTGTTAAAAAATTATAAATAAATCGTATCTAGTACAAGATACGTACAAGATACAATAATATGATCATGATTACATTAAAACACAACATTCTGTTTCATATACTTCGTATATACAAAGTATTCTGACGAATATTCGTCGTTTTTTGAAATAGGGTATTTTTCAACTTGTTAATTGCATCGCAAAATGAAAATAGATTAAAAACTATGA